GCGGGCGTTGGATTGTTGGCCGAGCGACACGGAGTCGTATCGGAGGCGACCCCGGGGCCGGGCGGAGTAGTGGCAGTGGCGCGGGGCCCCCGATGCGTATTGCGTTACGGAAGTACTTACGGTAATCCAGTTTGAGTTTCTTCCTCGGTCGCGCACGGAGCGCGGAGCAGGAGCAGACGCGCGGCTCGGTCAAGTTCCTCTTTCCCGTTTACCGGACTTGTTAGCTCACTTAGTAACCTACAAGCTTCATTGCTCCTCCTCGGCGCGACGCGACGCCACCGACGCCGAGACTTGCGTTACCGTTTCGGGCACCACCACCAGCAGCGGGGATCGGTCAAGTGACCGTATGCGCTCAAGTTCTGAATGTTTAACCCTCGTGTGACAGATTTGAGTCCCACACGGAGAAAAAAACTTCGTGCGTGGGACCCGAAGTTTAGGTCTTATGGATCTCTGAAGTTTTCGGATTGAGCATTCGAACACTTAAGGCCCAGCTGCTGAGGTTTGGATCACACATCTGAAACTTCAGTTCTTACGTCTGAAGTACTTCGGTTTTCACATCCGAAGAACTTCGGTTCTCACATCCGAAACACTTCAGTTCTCACATCCGAAAAACTTCAGATGTAAGAACTGAAGTTTCAGATGTGTGATCCGAACCTCAGCAGCTAGACCTTAAGTGTTCGGATGCTCAATCTGAAAACTTCAGAGATCCACATTATGACCTAAACTTCGGGTCCCACGCACGAGCTTTTTTCTCCGTGTAACAGGCCGATTGTTGAAATTGAATTGATGGACAAAGCTATAGACAAAGAGGACACAAGGGTTATGGAGGGATCTTATCGGTGGAAGCGAGTGCTTGCAACAGGCAAAAGTGGTAGGTAATGAACTAACTAACGGCAACCCGAAAGAGACCCTTTAGTTAGGCCATGATTTCCCCCCTTGGTCTGTAAAAACCGCCAGTTTTGACCAATGAGATCGCTCCGTACTTACGATGTTTTCTTTGTCGATTGCTCTGTCTATCAATTTCCAATATCAGACCGGTGAATCGGTAAAGCGACCGTATGTCTTCTGAATGTTTAACCCCGGTGTGACAGATTTGAGTCCCAACAGCCCGATTGTTGAAATTGATGAAATTGAATTGATTGACGAAGCTATAGACGAAGGAGACAAAAGGGATATGGAGGGATCCTATTGGTTGAAGCAGGTGGTTCCAATTTGGACACTAGGTAATAGATTAACTAACACCAACCCAGGAGAAACCCTGTAGTTAGTCCATCATTTTCTTCCTTACTCTATAGAAACTCCACATTTCGACCGATAGGATCGCTCTATACTCCCTGTGTTTTCTTTATCTATCGCTTTGTCGATCAGTTTCAACAATCAACCCGTAGCAGCAGCAGCGCGCTCCAATCTGCTGTGATCATTGCCCGATTATTGAACTTGATAGACAAAGCTGCAGACAAAGAACACAAAAGGGATATTGATTAAATGGAGGAATCCTATTCCTAATCCTATTGGTGGAAGCGGGTGGTTGCAATGGATAAAGCAAGTTGATAATAGACTAAACTAATGGCCGAAGGAACCAACCCACGAGAGGCCCTATGGATCATCATTTCCCATCATCATTTCATCATTTTCTCATAATTTTCTCCCTTTGCCTATACGATCCAACCATATCAACCAATAGGATCGCACCATACTCCCCATGTCTTATTTGTCCATAGTTTTGTCTATCGATCTCAATAAATCAGCCCACGGGGGTTCATTCGCACAACGCCCGGCAGAGATTTCAAGCGTCTAACGCGATATGATTTTACTCCCCATGTCTTATTTGTCTATAGTTTTGTCTATGGATTTCAATAAATCAGCCCGCGGGGGTTCATTCGCACAACGCCCGGCAGAGATTTCAAGCGTCTAACGCGATATGATTTTACTCCCCATGTCTTATTTGTCTATAGTTTTGTCTATGGATTTCAATAAATCAGCCCGCGGGGGTTCATTCGCACAACGCCCGGCGGAGATTTCAAGCGTCTAGCGCGATATGATTTTCCTGGAATATTTTACCGTTGGACGAGCGCGGCGCGGCGGTGCGAAATCCGACGTGGGTTAGCGGTTCCTGTGATCACTCATCGATCGACGATAGCCGGGCCTTGACGGGAATCGGCACCGGGCAATATTTACAAAATAATGTCGATTGTGCTGTGGGCAGGGAGCCGGGGTCGGCAGACATGACCGCCGACGCCCGCCCGTCCAGCGTAAACATGCAGTTCTCTTTCATTCTATTACACGTATTTTTGTTAAAATGAACTATGTGCCACGCAATTCCTATGCACGTAGTTCCTTTTAGCCATGAATACGGCCTATTATCGACGCCCGATCTGGGATTCTGGGAGACGAAGCGGTGCTTTGACCCCCGGCCAAGACCGTAGGCGAACGCCCGGCCGCAGACGCGGGGCGATTCGTTCGGGACCCCACCTCGCATGACGTAAACGAGGATTGTAATTTTGACGACCCGCTGCACTCGGAGATGAATCTGTTGTGTTTCTGACGAGGACAAAGCAGCAGTGGCGATTCCAGCAAGTTGGCAATACTGCTATTCCTCCGTTTGAGTCCATTGAGTATATCGATTCTAGGCAAGACGGCTGCCTCACGTGGAATCGATTGTTTAACATACTGAAGAATCCTGTGGGTTGGGATGTAAAATATAAAAATCCTACAGCGAGCTTGGAAATATAAATATTACCATGATTATTGTAACAGAGTTGAATCAGTTTATTATTGATATAAATGAAAAAAAATTCACCCACGATGTTAATTGAAGGAGGTAAGGGAGAATTTCCCTTACATATAAAAAACCGCATGGCTACTGCTATAGGACTGCTTTAAATGGAGAACTATAGTGTTGTCAACTTGCAAGAATAGCCACTGCAGAGCAGTCAGTGCAAGAAGGAGGCTTTGAGAAAATGGAATTCGCAGTGTCCGAGCAGAAAATTGTAGCCGACAAATGGTGGTTTTTCGCAAACCATCAATCATCTCTCGGACTCCTCGAATTTTTTGGAATATTAAGAATCTAGGTACACAGTTGAAAAGTTATAGATTACTTTTTAATAGAGGAACCATGGAACGTAACTTTTGAAATTTTTTTGTGAATTTCATCTTTAAAGTTAAAAAAAAATTCTTCATAGATCTCAGAAAATTGAATTGGCCCGTTTGAATGAAAATGCAGATAAAATTACTGAAAACGAGAACGGAAATTTTAAAACACCAGTCTTGTTATACGTGCTGTCCAAGCTTAACCATCTATATTATGAAAAAAACTTCGGTTTATTACATACCGTCCGGTAGCCGCAATGGCGCTCAAGATGCGATCCAGGCTCCATCCTCCTTAAAAAAAACGCTGCATAGGCATTCCAACGTTGCCAAATCTCCTCTGATCACAAATATATTTTTATAAAAAAGGTATGAATCCTTGCCTTTGAAATTTTCTGATACTTTCGCTCAAATTGCGAATAAAATTCTGTTACAATTGGAAGGCAAACGTCAAGTATTCACAAGTTTCCCAGAAAATTCAAGTTTTATGACAGGAAGTTTGGCAACGTCTAAAAGATCTTACGAGGTTCTTGCTCGCTACCGCGGAGCTAGCGTGAGATCCATCAGATGTTCCCGGGCGCGAATAGGCGGATTGCGACATTCGTTGGGCCCTTGACCCAGTTGCCAAAAGCATCGCTCAAATTCGTCCCGAGATATCAGTGATATCACTTTCCGCTCCGGCTCACGGCACCGCAGGTGGTAACGGAGCTTTGTCATGTAACTCGGAGGAAGTGTCAAGCGTGCATGACCGGGAGCACGGAGACGTTTCATATCTTAATAACCCGCCGTTGCCTTTCCCCCGGGAAATCCCTTCACAGTCACTGAGAAATTGTAGGATTTCTAGGGTACAAACGGCAACGTCGTAATCCCTGTCATATCGTGTGCTGCGGACTTGCGGTTGCGGATCTTGCGCGCGAAGGACGGAAGCCTCCGTTGGGGTCATCGAGGAGGGAGGGAGGTGTAGCATGATTTTGGAACAGGTGAACCGGTTGCAGATCGTGAGAGGCGGCAAGGGGGCGAAACGCGTGTCGGTGTCGGATGAAGAAGAACCCTGACCATCTGCAAACGGATCTTTGGTCAGTGTACCGCCACCAATTAAAACTAGGTATTTTAGTGGTCACTATTGTTATGAAGCATAATTTTACTCCTCGGTACTTTTTTTGCGAGTGGATAGTTATTTACAAGCTTCTATCGGCCAAAGTGAAAACCTTTTATCTCCAATCGAAAAGCTTTCTATTTTTCTGAGCAAGCGTTTTATTACAAGAGGACCAGCCATAGATTCTCAGTCATGTCAGTCTAATGGGTGAGAGAACCATAGGCGGATCCGGGGGGGGGGGGGGGNCCGCCCCTAAGCCCCCCCCCCGTTCGCTCGAAAAAAGGAGAAAAAAAGGTGGAATAGAAAGAAAGAAGGAAAGAAGAAAGAGGGGCACTTGTATTTGGTATTTTTTCATCACGAAATTGACTCTAACAACACTTCAAGTGTTTTAAAATTTCTAAAATTTTCCGAGGAAGCCTCTTGGACCCCCTTCCGCCCCACCTTTTCGAAGTGCCTAGATATTGTGAAAACATGCATCATAGTTCTTGCCTACCTTGTCTTGCGGTCCATCGTCAATCTGAGGTATTTTTTTAAAATGAGGCTTCAAAACTTTCTCGTCAATCGAAAAAAGTCCTCGCGATTTTTTTTTTCGAGTACTAAATTTTGGTATTTTGAAACGTCATCTTGAATCCTTAATTCTTGACCACCAACTGACCCATTTCCGTGCTAATCCCGAAGTTCCTCCATGGAGCGCCGGTTGTCTCAAAGCGGGATGAGGCAGAAGAACCTTGGCTCGGCGATGCGGTGTACGGCGGGTTGCAGCCGCGGCGGTTGGCGGGGAGACGGTGCCGTGTCGCGAGTGTCCGCGGCTTTAGTCGCCGCCTAGCGCTCGCCGTGAAGGGAGCCCCGTGCCGCAGCCGTGTTCCGTCTTTCGCATCCGACGCGAGTGCAACTTCAAGCACGTGATTTTCGGCGTCCGAAATCGCCGGGTTTTCAAGTGTTTATAGTGCCGTTCGGAGGGTCAGTTGCTCGCTCTAGCCCGACCCAGCCTACAAGTGTGTATTCCTTACCGCCCCAACATCGAAATCCACGCTCCTTTTTTGAGCCATTAAACAAGAGACAAATGCACTACATCCACCAATTGGATCGCGTTTAGCTGAAAGGCAGCAAGACAAATCAGCTATTGCCATTAGTCGGGCAATTTAATTTTTGTGAAGAAAACGTTCGTGCGGATTCCTTGGAAAATTTGAAGGAATTTGCTTCGCGCTCTGCAGAAAATTCACTGAAATTTGCACCGAAACCCCCACCACCGTTTTTATGTAAAAAATCAAAATGTCCAATTAAATTTGGCAATAGCTGATAAGGCTTGGTTCGTTTCTGCTCAGCGCGGTCCAATTAAGAATTGCAATTTCCAGCTCACTCTAGAAGCAACGAATTTGTCATTCGTTTCCGTGTGCAGATAAGTGATTTTAAAAATGAGTCAGATATTGTAGTTCCTAATTGAAAAATGAAGTCTGCATGGCCGAACCGGTGGTTTTAAAATTGTGTGGCCTTGCCATTCGAGCATTGATACGAGGTGATCGCAGTCAGGGGAAGGGGGGGGGGGTAAATGTGTGGGTCGATGATGGATCGAAAAAAAACTAAACATTTCTGGAAATTTTTTGCACTGTCTTAGCCTGGCTTTCATCAAGATTGGGCATACTCTGCAACAAACTTTTCTGCACGCAATTAGTCTCGTTGTCAGAGTGAGCTGCAATTTTAAAATTCAGGGAATTTTATTTCTGAAATTAGCCACCGTGTGTAACTGTGTAAACTACATTATCGACGGTTCTTTTTAGAAACTTGTAAAGTGGTCTATTTTAGAATAGATTAAAGTATTATAATCATGAGTGTTACGATACGACCCATAAGAACCCAAAAGTGTAAGTTAGCACTATTGTTACAAGACGACTTCACACGCTGCAAAACGAGATAAAAGTGGAGCTACCGTGCATTTTCGTGACCTCGAATTGACCAGCCCTGCAAGCTGGGATTATCGATGGCCTTATTTTCAGTTCCTGCTTGCAGCGAATGAAATTGGCTCAATACTAGGGAGAGGTTTAATTTGTCTCTGGATTAATAAACCAAAGCCTCTTACAATTGGCACAGCCAATCGTTTGAGGCTCTCAAAAAAGGAGCAGTGAGAATGTAGTGTTCCATCTCTTACACTTTCGATTATAGTCACATACTATAAGTCAAACTTCATCACCTTTTTTTCGGAGGGGTGACGAATGAAGTTCAATTCCCTGTCCTTGTGTGCAGCTGAATTCAAGCAGGAAAACCGAGCAGTCAAAAGTGTGAAAAGTGTGGAAATTTTTCCTACGTTCGAAGTTGTGGAATTTCTTTTTCGAACTTCCGAAGAAAGTTTCATCGAAAACGATGAAAAGTGAAAAGGAGGCTCCGATCTACTATTTCCTGATAACGTCAAGTTCACATCATTCCACGCATTCAAAAATGGGTGAATCTATTCCCCTTGAATGTTGCAGTCAAAATTTGAAAAGTGTCAAGTTTCGTAGCGGTGAAGTATTTACTGTCCTGTTTTTTTTTTTTCTTCTTTTTTTTCTTTTTTTTTCTTTCTTTTTTTTTCGGTTGAAGCGCTAACCGCGAAATATTCCAGTAAATGTTATTTCCGTTTTCTCTTGTAAAAGTTGGAGATATCGTCATTCTCCTCCTAGGAAACGTGAAAATGTCGAAAATAATTGGAAACATAATGAATTTTTTGAGATTTTGGATAGGTGTATTCCTATATAGTCTCGTCCTTACGGTCTTCTCTTCCTTGGCTCAAAATCCTAGCTTCCTACAGATTCTTTTAGGCCCAATCCCAATGTTTGTGCTGTCTGTTGGAAATTCACTACAAAGAAAAATTTGCCCAAAACGAAAATCGGAAATTCTCGAATATTCGTGGTCACGTTTTTGTTCTGTCGTAATTTGGGTGAAAGCTCAGTCAATTCAAGTTCTCAAGTCTTTGCTATTACGCCTTTTTTTAGTACCACTTAGTGTCATATCTGCTCCTCGGTATGAGTGAAATCGTGAATTTATCTTAAGTATAATTGAAAGAGAAGTCTTTTAGTTAGCAAGCACTTGAATAGTGCAAAAAATCGGCGATTTGGCATGGATTCTAAGTGGTTTATTCGGTGCCTCGTAATTCCGGCTGAAGTTTTATCGGTCAACTACACCGACCGAAACCGTCTGGATGTGGGCCATACATTTACATTTATGTCTCGGCGAACCGGAGCTGTTGTCGCCCGGAAGATATCGTTCTTTTGAACGTTGCCTGGGGGAGAAAAAACCTGGGAAACCAACAATTTTTCCGGTGGTTACCGTTCATCGAGGATTTTTAGTGGTCTCGCTGTCTTTCGGTAATTTTACCGAGTTCTCTATACTGTTAAAAATAATGTTCTATCCGCACATTGAAGATGGGATTGAGTCTTTTTTGAGTCTATACTTCCAAATCCAACTTGCTATATTTTGATTATGACGCTTAATGATTCCAAATGACTCTAATTGACTTCAAAATGACTTTAACTGACCCTTAATTCCTTTAATTGTCCCTATGTTGGAGTCTGTTGAAAACAGGCAACACTGTATTAGCTGTTTCTCCTTGCTCTTTCTTTCTCTATCCTGAAAAATACCTTTATATACTTTTGTTCCATACTCTGCTAAATTTTATGTATTGCCCCTAAATCTAAGCATATTCAATATTTATTAGAATACATGTCCCTTTATGTTATTAAACAGTGTTGTGACATGTTTGCACATCATTTGGCAGTCCCTCGTTTAACTCTATCTACGAGTTTATTCCTGTCTTGACGGATCTTCAATAGGGGATCAGAATATTTCTATTTTTAGCAGCGGAATATTACCAACCTTTATCGGTAATTTTGCCGTGTTCAGCATAATGAGGTTGGCAATGTTTTCGAGAATACGAAGAACATACCGTAAGTTCCGAGTTCTTGGTTATCGGTAACTACTGGAAACTCCCGGTAATTTTACCAGTTTTTATTTTTTTCACATCGGTTTTTTTGGGGCCGACTTCGAATCCTTGTTTTTCACACCGATATTTTTTTCTACGCCACAAAGTGCAAAAACAGCCATGAATAAATCGTTGAATTAGCGATATAATAGGGAAGTCATATACAGTACGTGTTAGAAATGCAAGAGCACTTTAAGCGTTGTAGAGAACTAAATAACCCTCTTTCTCTTTACGTGAAAGTTCAGTTTAATAAATATCGCGAAATGCGGCAAATTCGATGATTATGGGCGGCGAACGGTCAACGCGTGACACACTCATAAGTCATAATCACTGTTTTAGACGCCTCTCTAGCTGGGTCTAAAGCAGAGTTCACAGAAATCATTTACCGAAGTGTAAGCGTAAAGCTATTAGGCGTTTAGAAGTTTAGAATTTGTGATGCCTAGCGAAGCAAGAAGTTCAGTGAGAAATTGAGGTACACGCTTTCTTAACAGTTCTTTGCGATCTTTTCTCTCGGTTGTTAGCGACAAACAATTTAGATGATCTAAGATAGGAAATGCCTTAGAACGGAGGTATTCTTTCTAAGAGTTTGTCTAAAAATCAAAATTTACAAAATAAAATGTGTACGCGTTCGCAATTCAGCGGCAGGTGAAGCGTAGCTGCTCAGAAATCGCCAGGCCTTGAAAGTGAGATTGGTTCAAGTCAGCCGTGAAGAATTACGTTTCAAAATCGTGGTGCGGTTTGTTTTTGTTTTTACTGGAGAACAATCGAGTAGGGATCCTTGATAATCGGACTCTTCTCTGTATTGTTCTGAACAGACGCAGGTATGATTAATTGAAAAAAAATTGAAAATGAAAAAAAGAGTCAATGTTTTATAATTTTCCCTCGGACGACGTTCAAGTACAACGCAATTTACTGTTTTAAGTTTTTCCAACCCTTTCCTTCTCGTAAAGCCCGTTCCGTAAATCTGACCCATAATGAACGTTAAGTAGACTTTGCAGCTCGCGAATTTCATCATCCCTTAACAGAGCGGTCATAAACATATTCCGTCTCTGGTATACTGCCGTGCTAAGGAAAAACTCCGCATGAACATTCGTGAGTTGCCAAACTCCCTCCGATAAAGTGTCCATTTCTGAAATAAGTTATGAATATTTGTCCTTGAAATTTTTAGACACTTTAGACCTAACCTCAAGCAAAAATATTTGAAAAATTGGAGGAAAAGTGTTGAAAAATTCACCCAGAAAGTCGTGATTTTTATAAGAATATCTGGCAACGTCTGAAGGCTCCTACGGCCTTTTTCCTTAGCACGGCAGAATATTAGTCAGTCTGTGAAATACGGATCATTACGTAACGACAGCCATCAACCTCACACCTTCGTGTCGCACTGTAACGCAGGTTCAAACCAACTTCCCACCCCCGCATCAATTGCGTTACGCAGAATTCGAATGCGTTCCACAGGGTCTCAAATAATTTTGGATACAAAATTTGAAAATCTGAAAAAGTTCAATTGAAATACGTGATTTTTGCTTTTGCTGCCGTATCTTTTTCAGTATAAGTAGGCTGTCGGTCAAGAGTTTAAAGTCGTGGGGCTGAAATTCAATTCAAGGTCATTTCCACCTGGTTTGGCACCTGTACCGCGTTACGTTCGACGTGTGCGTCCGCAGCCGCGAGAGTGTGTGTGAGCAGCAGCCGGACTCTGTCGTGGCTATCGGAGGAATAGTGGGCACTTAGCATGCGCAAGCTGTCACCGTCTGTGGCAGATAGCCGTCATAAAAACCCTTCGTTTCGCTGGAAATAAATGGATTTTATCACCGATTCGACAGCACCGCGTGTCACCGTCACCGCAAATCAATCCACCGACGAGAGTGACCTCGCGGTGGAGTATTTGTTTGGTTTTTACACCGTCAATAAAGCCGTAAAAAAACGCACCGTTTTTTCCGGGTTTCCTGCCCGAGTAGCCGTGGATCGGTGCGGATCGATATAGTGAAATAGTGTAACGAGACGGGTCGAATATAACCGTCCTGTAGAAGAACGCCGTATGAGCCC